AAGGTATTTTTAGTGTTTGGGGATCTCAGCTGATGCGACAAGCTATCACAGTGAGCGCTACTGTATCCGGTTGTGGTTGAAAAAAACCTTTTGTACACTTTGACTGCAGTGCGTATTGAAATAGATTGTCTGACTCGCTTCAGCGACCAATACTCTAGGAGCTCAGACTTCTTTAAGATTTCATGCGTGTGGGCATTCCCAGTGAGTTTTTTTTGCAAGAGATTTGCTATGAATGTTCTGCATTATTTGGACGCCCTTTACGTTTGGGTTTATCGTGAAGTCGTTAAGTCATAGTTCAATTATGTTTCAATTACTATTGCAGATCTGTGTGTTTCGAGATGAGGTACTAGGTATGGTAGGTACAGAGATGGTAACGTTAGTCTCGTCTGCAGATATTCTTGGACTGAGAACCAGCATTAAAAAAGTCGGTAGATCACCTATTTAGATGAAAAGGAAAGGGGTCGATTATTGTCCCGAGATCATGAGGCACGCCACAGTTAAGAGAGAGCTCGCGCAGGATAGTTTCATGGTTACTTATATGTACAATTTGAGGAAGACTTTTTTGGGCAAATGGTTTACCCCCCCCCAGGCAAAATTGCCCATACGCGCATCTGTACTTCGATTAAGCGACGGTGCTTGTCACGCCCACTCCGATTTTAACGTCGAATCTGGTGAACAGAGGGATTAGTTTATGCTTTTCGTCGAAAATTGGAAATTTTTACAATCCTTCTTTTAAGGGCAATATGCGCCGAAAAAATGTGTTTGGTGACGTTTTGGTCGAATAACTAACCTTTCTACACTACAAAAACATCATGTTAGGAAAGTGGCAAAATTTGCATTTGTCCAAGGTTTTGGTTGAAAATTTGAAATTTTTATATGTTTTCTTTGTAGGCAAAATAGGCCGTGTAAAAGTGTGGAGTACTCGTTGTAGAAAAGTAGCTCTTTTTTAAGTCAAAAGACAAGAAATTCCAAGATCCTTTTTTTTGCCAACAGTGAAAAAAAGCCAATTAAGCGCGGCGTGATGGCGCACACTGTCCAATTACTTAGGCATGACGCGTACTGTCCTATTAAACTGTCTTATTAAGGGTGAAATCAGGGCAGTTGATAGCCAATCAGATTTGAGAATTTTGTTATAGTTATGATTAATATATTAATTACATGCATTTTTCTCAACCTCGTTCCCAGGGCTCCTTTCCAGCCGTCCCAGGGGAGTGGAAAAGAACTTGAAAACGAGGTTACTTTTTCTGTACGAATCTCTTTGATTTCCCTCCCTGGATAAGTGTAATATATAGATTCAGCCAGGGCTAAAAGGGAAGCTCTCGATAATATTAATAGCTTGCTCAAACTAAATATAAAATCGTGTAATGCTAAGCGGCGAAGGAAACGAGAACGGTGAAAAAACAACAGTAGGTCTAATTGGCATTATAACGTAACAAAGATAAAGAGTGCGCTCTGATTGGTCAGTTACCCATCTACCATTTGCCCGTGGGTGCATGCCAAAAAACTGAGCTAGCGCGGTAAAATTGAGGCAAATTCAGCAAATGTCCTCTTCTGTCAGTAAAATACACCGATGAAATGTAGAAATGATAGAAGTTGAAGAAAATACTCAGTTGTCATTTTGAAGAAAAAACTCCAAAGATCAAGCGACAAATTTGCGCTGGAGGAATTTATCACTGTTTTCTTCGCGGCTGAGATCGGCAGAAGAAAACCCGAATGAGCGAAGATTCAAGGTACTTTTATGCGTGTGGTAAAAGAGAAAGCATGTTTTGAAATGGGAATTTATCAATTAACATCGTGTTATTGACTTTTTAGGGCCTGTTTACATGGAGGTGGGAGACCCCAGGTAGGTGAGGTAACCCGCCTGTCCATATAATCTTTCATTTTAATTTGATCACGTTTACATAATAGGTGGGGTGACCCGCCAAGGCGGGTAGCCCGGTGTGCCAGATCGGGTATAACCCTCAACCGGGGTGTACATTGTAATAGGGAGAATCTTGATGAAAAAATTTTCGGAGCTTTGTACCAATTTTTTGGTATATATAAGAAAGGAAGAATATCTTCAACTGCGAATGCTCCTCGGGAGCTTTGTTCTTAGGGTCGAAAAAAAGCCCTTGGAGCAGCGGTTTACTATAAGGGCAGAGCTTGAGTCCTCTATGCAGTTGGGACATTGAAACTGTAGCCACTTTATAGGAAAAATCGTGGAATATAATGGTGGTTTCGCATGGTAGTTGTAAAGTGAGTTTTAACTTGTTATTCTAAAGGTTATCTGAACTTGCTAATTGATCGCTTTATAATTACATCGACAAGGCAGGCAAACCTTGTATGCTTGATGCCTTTCTTTTAAAACAAATCACACATATTCTTTTAAACTATTTGAGCCATTCTTTAAACTTTTATTGTACTTTTTTGTTATCATTAATTTTGTATTTTGCAAACTCAAAAAGACGTGACTTTGCCGACACGAGGTAGTCTCGGTTGTTTTTTATAAAAAATGGCAGCGGCTAAATAACCAAAGAAGAATCGTGGGATTGCGTAGTCAAACGAGGGCACAGAAACGTCAATAAAATTATGAGCAGGATAAGAGAATGGGTCTCTGCAAATAGCCACTTTTGCATATTGCGCCTTCCTTCTTGGTTCGCCTTTTTTTTTACATGGCGATGTATTTCGTCCCCCAAACGTTAGCAATATAACGGATGCGTATTGAACTTTCAACCTGAAGGTGAAGAATCACAGTTTTTTTTCTCGCCATTTTTCCAGTAAAGATACAAATGAAATAAAGGGGTGCCAATGGAAAATTGGCATCGTTCCCAGGCGGTTCATTTTAATTTTAGGCCGTGTGAATGGGTAGTGCAGTGCCCAAAAATCGTCAAAACAACCGTGTATTCTTTGTCTTTAAGCTTCTTTAATTTTTTGTCAGTCCAATTCAAATACAATGTTTAGCGCTGTACTGATTAATCAAGCTTTGCTGCCTAATTTCTTTTTCAAAATATCAATATGTCTCTTGCTGCCCTTGAAGTAAAGTGTGCATGATACTCAGTGCATTCCTCCCTCCTCCTATTTCCTTTCTTATGGTTATTTAATGACTAGAACTCCCGATAACTGGAACTGTTTTCGATTTCCCTTGACGGTTCGAGTTATCAGGAGTCGACTGTAATTTTAGAGGTTTAAAAGGGCTCTTAAAGATATTTTTTTCTGTTTTTCATAGTAAAATTTCTACTTCAAAGCTTAGTGCTCTAGGTAAAAATTTAATCTAGACATTAAGCCAAGCCTAAAAGCGGAGCTGAGTTTCAAAATAATAAACTATTACTAGAAAAAATGGACATCAAAACATTTCAAAATTAAAGATTAAAAATTAAAATTAAATCTTACTGTCACTTCCTTAGTAAACTTTAACGTAATTTTATCCTTTTATCCTATATGAAAGTATCTAAGAGGGCAAATAAGCTTCAATATGATTTTGTTTTTACTCCTGAAATATTCTTAAAAAGCATTATGGTTAGTACATCACTTCCAAGCGTGCACATACCCTCGGTATTTGTTTGACATCACAAATTTTGCTCCTTTTAGAATACAAAAAAAAAATGGCATATAAACGTTACATGCATATGCATACAGTTTTTAAAGAAATATTGAAAAGTCCTACTCGTTAAAATATTAAGGATTTTACCAAAAACGACGACGAAGGTGGCGAAAACGTCTCTTAGGGCCTGTTTACATGGAGGTGGGGGACCCCAGATAGGTGAGGTAACATGTGGGGGGTCCCCCACCTATCATGTAAACGTGATCAAATTAAAGTAAGAGATTATATGGACATGTGGGTTACCCCACCTAAGCAGGTAACCTCACCTACCTGGGGTCCCCCACCTCCACGTAAACAGGCCCTAAAAATTGAATTCACGCTGTTTTAAAATTTATCGCTCTTATTCCGTATCGTTTACAGTTGTAAGTAAAATGTTGGTCAATTTTTCTGGAGTTGAATTCTCAGCTACTGTATCTGAGTTTCAAAAAAGGTGAAATAAGGCAGTTTCAGACGTCGCGGTGGTGCAACGACGACAAAGAAATGAACAAAAAAGGGTGATGCACGTTCAAAGTTTTGTGTTGCTAATCTGAACCTATTCCTTTTTTCGCCTTCTCGTTGCCGCCGTCGTCGTCGCCGCTTCCCTACGGTCTAGGCCAAACGTTAACGTGAGTTAAGTTCATGAAACGTTCGACGTCTGTCTCAGTTAAGTTCGTCTGAATGATTCTTGTGCCAGTGAATAATGGGGACGTCACAAAATCTAGGGGGAAATCTATCCGTCTTCCTGTTTTCAATGTTCTTGAAACGGATATTTATTGAAATTGATCTCGTTGTCAAATTTATAAAAAGTTTATCGAGCGGTTTTTTTTGAAAAATATTCGTGGACTAAATTACGTCTCAAAAGCAGCTGAACAAACGTCGCCCAGCTAAACGTTTTCAATGATCAAACAGCTATGAGATGAAGCGACGAACTAATTGTGTGGATAGAATTCTATTTCACTGTTTTTAATAAAACTGTTTCAAATATTTAAAACGCTCCCATAGCCATGTTCGGGCAGGTACAAACAACTTTCTTTAAAACAATTGAAGATTAAAAAACGGTTACGTTGCCATGGCGACCCGATTCAGTTTTTCATTTTATATAATACAGTTCCATTTCTTTACTCATGTCTTTGGGAATCCCCCAAAAAATTCCAGTCTCGACGTCTGACCTAACAGACGATCTTAACTTAATTTAGGTGGACCCAAATTAGAGTTTGGTACGTCTCATGAAAAGTTCGACGTTTGGCCTAAGCGTAAAAGTTACACCCATCTGCCTAAAAATGAGCAGCTTTGTCCTCGTGTTAACCCAAGTTCCCCTTTTTGAAGGATACTCTTTCAATTTCTTTTTTTCCAACCTAAACTCCGACCTTGTAGACAATGAAAAGACTCAGTTGCAGGCTATACAGACTGACCATGAACCAACTCACTCTATGCACAACACTCAAAGGTCATTCTCGGGCACGCTTTCAGATAATTTCGATTTAGTAGAACCAATTATCGGCAATGACGCCCTCCTTTGTCGGAATGATTTGTTAAATCTAGCCTCCATTTTCAAAGTAATTTCCTGAAAGACTTCGGGGGATTCACCATGCTCTCCCAAAACACGTTTAACTAGCGCCTTCAGCAACTCAAAACAGTGAACAAGCTCTCCCGACACCAACGGTATGTCCATCTCTGCCAATACGTCAGTGTTTGGTTTTGGAAGTTTGAATGGTTTCTTCAGAGTAGCAACGAACTCCGACAGCTGAGCTAACGGAAGATATAACCTACCGTCAGGAAGAAACTCCCCCCACAAGACATAGAAGCTGTCAAAGTCTTCCTGGGTGATGCCGGAATCCTCGATCTCGTGAGCACGGTACACATTTTCGAGAATGATAGCAATGTACATATTGATAATGATCAGGAAAACAATTACGATATAACTGACCAAGTAAAAAATAGCTCCAATGGAACCGCAGTTGCCATGGGGAAGACTCATGTAGTTAGGATCACAGTCTGGCGGTTTCAGTAGCAAGGAATCCATGATGTCATTCCATCCCGCGCCAGTTGATAAGCGGAAAAGTAATGACAGTGAACTACCAAATGTCGCGAAATTTACAATGTCATTTAACGCGCCTTCTTGTTTAACGTGTCCAAACGCTGACATGCCGATGATTCCGTAGATAAATATCACCAAGGAAAGAAGGGCACCTACGTTAAATAGAGCTGGTAGTGAAATCATAAGAGCCCACAAGAGCTGACGTATTCCCTTGGCAAACTCTACCAGCCTTAGGAGCCTGGCAATTCTAAAGATGCGTAGAACACGAAGAAGACTGGGACTGAACATATCTTCATTCACATTTACCTCCCCAAGGATAATCTCTGTAAAGACATTAAATATAATATTTTTTTAGTCTGCAGCAAAACGATTCACTAGATTAATCCCGTATCCACTCAAGCAACTCTTCGAGAGGAAAATTTAATTCAGAAATTTTTGAAGCACCTCAAACCAAAGCCGACTTGTTAAGATGAGGAATTAAAGGAGGAGATTTAGTAGTGGGTAAGATAAAGGCTATCTGACAAAAAAAAAATTGTTCCAAAATTGCTTGATAGTCGGGATATATTTTGGCTACCCACTACATTTACAGCTCCGAATTGCAAGCCGGTGGATTCTCCAAAGCCTTCTGTCTAATTAGTTCCGTTAGTAGGCAGTTTTTACAATTATCTTGCCCGCCAACACTAAGCGGAATTTACGGTCGTGGCGGCTTCATTCAACGGTTTGTTAGTATTGGTGAATGAGCGAAAGCTACGCTTTTAAACAGTTTTCCTCTAAAACATGAGCCCTTATGAGTAGTACTAGCTAGTGAAAAAGTGAACTTTGTTATCTGGGGGCAGACAACATATGTGGCAAATCAGTCGGAAAAACTGCTAAAACAATGTAAAAGGGGGGGCCATGCTGCCTCAACCAGCCTTCAGTTACCCTAAGCTGATTGCAAGTTCTCGCAACTTGTTAAAAATTGAATCAAAAACTGCGCCCGTCTTTACCTCAGGTTTTAAACTTTTAAAGGGTCAAACACTTATAAACGCAGGTCAGTGTGTCGTGTGAAATTGAAGTTGTTAAAATTGCCTTAGATCTTGACAAATAAAAACAAGAATTGTCTCATTGTCAAAAAACTGTTTCATGTGGTTTCGATCGCATCGGCAACGCTAAAAAGGCCATACAATAAATAACTTATTAACCTCGTCCGTTCGGTCATTACAGGTAAATCTCAGACCTTGCGATCGGCCTTTATGTATTGACCTCGCTATCGCTCAATCGTAGGCCTCAGTCTGAGATTTTCCTCTTAAGGAGCTCACTCTCGGTAAATAAGCGGTATAAAAGAAAGACTCACTTGTTTTTGTAGTTTTACAATCGTTCGTGCTCTACATCAACTTGGAGGCTAAAGTAATATTTTCCCGCAAATTTTAAGAGTGAGAACAAAAATGTTATTTGCCGTCCTCTTTTTTATATATATACGGACTATCAGGCCGGCAGATAACATATACAAGTAACTGTTTTTTAGTGAAGAAAGAGCTGGGAATCTCAATTTCATTTGGTCTTAACTTTTAGGAAGGCTGATAAATTTCAAAATTTATGACGACAATCGAGGATGTACCTACCAACAATAGAGCTGATAACAATAACAAAATCAAACACATTCCAAGCTTTCTTGAAGTAGTGCTGTTTCAGCGCAATAACCTTTAGTATGGCTTCCAAAACAAAGATACCAGTGAAGATAAAATTGGATACACGTGATCATGAGTTAAGGAAAGTATTTTTAAAATTCACTAGCTTACAGTATTACTTATTCTGCGGATTGTTGTTATGTTCGATGTTCAGCCTACGAAATTTTTTAAGGAAATCTCAGTATTGAGGGAAGTGCTAAATCTAGCATTTTCGATACTCGTTTACGATACGTACTCATTTCATTACTTGTTTTAAAAGAACGTGTGTAACGTCCTAATCTTCTGGCCCTAGTTGTTCAAAAGGTGGATAGCGCTATCCAGCGCATAAATTATACAAATTAAAAACCGCACTTTATGGAAATAGGAAACAAATGAAAACACTTGTCGTGGCAAAAGGATATGAAGAACGGTGGTGACCTGGGAGGACTGTCCGTGATGTTGAATCATCATCATGACCATGTTGCACATTATCACTGTCATAATGGCAACTTCAAATTTATCCCCCGTTACCACGTCATATAGCAGGCCGATCAATCTTTTCTGTGGAACATATAAACAAATACACATGAAAAAGCATACTGAGGGGCTCGGCTTTGGGCATCCGGAAAATGTAGTTGTATAGATGGTATTAAGAAATTTATTCCTTAACTAACAATAACGCATTCTTTAACTTTTTAAAGGGGCTATGTCATGATGAGTTTTATGGTGAATATTTTGGATCAATTTAGGTTTTCTGGGAAACTGCCCACCTACCCTCCCCTAACCCAAAATGTTGCCCCAGTGAGACGCAAATGTTAACGTCGAGTTAGGGAAGGGGTGCGTGGGCAGTTTCCCAGAAACCTTACTTAATCCAATATTTTCAGACATCTTTGCCACGCTTGGTCAATGAATGAAATATATCAAGTGTTTCTATCAAAGGAAACCAAAGAATGATCGGTTTTGCTCATTTTTCGACAACACAAGAGTTTAACTCGAAAACGTTCTAATCCTGTTGCCTCCTAGTCACTGAAAGGCAGACATACACGTATAGTTAAGTTAAATTACTAGAGTAATTTTGAAAAAAAGGAACTATTATTTTACGGTTTTCTTTGATTGAACTGTGTTTTTAGGGTTTCAAAATAACAACAGAAAATCGTAACGTAGCTTCTTTATTTGACGTTTTCACGTTCATTAATAGTTCTCCCATTACTTTAATGACGTCTGGAACAAGTTCACCTGCGTTAACTAGTACCTCAGGACGAATCTCCTTTGTGGGTGGTTTCTTTCTGGAGGCTTCCTTTAGAAAACTGACCCACTTTCTTTGTGATTCGGTCAGCAACATACCCATGCTGTTGATGTCCTCGTACTAAGATTGAAAATTAAAGCACAACAGTTCGTACGTAAGTGCGCCTAAAATAAATAAGGTAGACACATTATTCGCTAGTTTCCAGTAATTTATTCACAGCATAGGAGGGTACAACTTAATGGCAGCTTTGGTTTTGCCCAACTCTTAAAAAAAGAAGACCTCATGAATGACGTTAGGGGGCTGAAGACATGAGTCTGGCTCGCCCGGGTGTTGCACGCTTTGAAAAGATCGCAGCGCTCAAATTAAACGCAACAAAAATTTAATTTGTGATTGCATGAAAACCCAGCCAATCCGGTTAGCTGGAGCGGGCCATCCGCAAGCGAGCCTACCCAACTAACCCCCGCTGAATTACAGTATTAATCGTAACATGTCCATTCATTGTCATGTAACATTCTAAAGATCAACATCCTTGTTGTGTTTTGGTCTTGTTTCTGTGAAGTTGTGTCTCGAATACTTTCAACCCTTCCCCGTGGAAGGTCAAGACAAGAAGCATCCCTGTTCTATCTCTTAAAGAAACCTGGAGCGTTAATTCAGTGTTTACGTCATCACATAATCATCTCTCTTTGGTAGCATGTGCATTAAGAAAAAAATGTTACGGGCACCACTCACGTTCATAACGAAATTACTATGTTTATTTTGTTTTAATCTGATGTAGATATGTCATTGTTTCGAATAATGTAATCGCACATTTTCATCGTTTTGTCCCAAAAAAACCCGTGCGTGCACCTTTTTTTTTCAGTTCAATTCTATCACTTTTTTAAATAAAGGGGAGTGTCTGCAAAGGTCAGGTAGGTTTGAGAAAAAACAGCGAATGATACTTTACCTTCTTTTTTAAAGTGTTAAAGTTGTCAATAATGACCCCTACAAACAGGTTCAGCACAAAAAAAGAACCCACGATGATAAAAGCAACGAAAAAGCAGTACGCCATCATGTTGTTCTCAAACTTCGGCTGCATGTCCACCTGAGAAGAAGTACATTTATCAGTTACACACGTTACAACGATAAAATGCAAATGGCAAAGCGTCATCTCGCAGGCTTAGAAAACCACAAAGCCAGTGGGCCAGGATCAACACAGAGCGTTTAAAGCAAATATTATAGGTCAATTGTTTATAACTATTTTATTAACTACTACCAACGATAATAATTATGAATGATTATGACAATGATAAATTTTTAAATACTAAGGTGACGAAATAGTAACCAAAACCGTAAGGCTAGCAAAAACTGTCTGATATATATTAAGTGTCTATAAATGGCAAAATTACACAACTAAAACTACTCCACCATGTTCAAGATCAAGTCACCCTCACACCACGCACATGTTGGCCCATTTCCGCGGTGCCTGCGTAAAGCAGTCAGGGTGCCCTATATCTTAGGGGGGATCCCAAAGGCTCAAACGCTATATCATGTTCCCTAATAGGAATAAATGAGTCTTTGTCACCCCTTCACTTGGTGCCCAGATCTGTTTGTAATGGGTGTGTGTGAAACTGTTTCTGTCGGTCTCGATTCTAACGGACTTGGCGCTAGCTTCTCAGATTCAGCTGCCAGTGGACTCGCAGGAGTGTCACGAGGCTGTTCACGTATAGGATGAAAACTGGAGACATGGGACAATCATCTGGAACTGAGATGATCTGCCATCTATTTCTCCAGTAAGTAAATCCATATTAGTCTTCCAGGAGGCACGATCTTGGCAATACTTCAGCTTTCCACCATTTTCTTTCACTATTTACACCCGGCCCTGTGCACAATTAAAAGTGGAGGCAAATCACTGTTCTGCTTGTGTTAACTGGACTTGACACTACGCCGTCGCTGATGAAGAGTTTTCAGAACACGATCACGATCCACCGGCTGAGGTAAACAAGAGAAGTCGATGGGTCGGTATCATCGTTCGTGTTCGTCGAACGCATCAGCAACTGTGCAGAAGATACGCCAATATCTTCAAATGGTGAGTTGCGACAGTTTAACAGTCCCCCAAGTGGATCTTCATCTTCTGCTGAAGCCTTCTTAAGAATGCGTTTTGCAGTCTGCACAGCCTTTTCTGCTGCTCCATTTAATTGAATATACTATGGTGAGCTGATTGCATAGCAATATCTCTACTCTTAAACTATGGATAACGACTGGACAAATGTCTGGCGCCGAACAACGGTCCGTTGTCGCAGAAAATTTTCCCTGGGATTCCAAACCTTGCAAATATTTTCTTCAGGTTGCTGACGACACAAGTGACTGTGGTCTGCCCAAGCCGCGCTATTTCAAAGTACTTGAAAGTCGGTAACCAACGGACAATCTGAAATGATCTGCTGTTTCCATGGTAGATAGCAAGGTCATACTTGATGAATTTCACTAGCATCTTCTGTATTCTGGGAGGGGCCTCATTCACTGGTTACGATTTGTGATCTATCTCGACAATAGCACTCCCCACACAATAGCTAGCAGCTCTCTTTCAATATTTGCATACATCTTCTCAGAGGCGGTCAGTGACTTTACACTGAAAGTAACTGGTTTGCCATCCCGCATCAGCGATCACGGCCATTTTCTGTGCTACTGGCATCAACACTTAGAACTTTCTATGCTGTTATCAAAGTGAGCTAACACAGAGGCATTAGTGAATGAATGAACTTGTCCTGGTAATTTACGGTCCCAAGTATTCAAAGAACACCTTTTTCAGTAAGAGGAGGCATCTCACTAAATGCTCGCTCTTTATCAGGGTCTGTTTTTTAGCCATCGACTGAGAACACATGTCCAACATAACTTACGTCAGGAAACCGAGGTTGCAATTTTTAGGGGGTTAAACTTTCTTCCTACTTCTCCCCTCCTATCCAGTACAGTTTTCACATTCAGTTCAGCTTCTGTTGATATTTACCAAGTATCAGGAATCATGCACTATAACCTCCACAGGATCCCCTTCGAAGAATTTTCCACCGTCTTTTGGAACATTCCAATAGATATCGATCCCATGGTTGTTGAATGTTAAGAGCTTTGCGCTTTTATCATCAACTGGCAGCTGCCAGTACCCACTGCATGCATCAAGGATATGAAACTTTTAGCACATGGAAGTCGGTTAGCAACGTCCTCCTTCCCCGTAACCATTGTATAGTGTGGTGTCTCAAGTGCTTTTAATAGGTCCCTTGGGTCAATACAAATTCGAATATCATTGTTCGAGGATGGATTATTTTTTCTTTAACTTTTCTTTTGTCAAACACTAGTATTCAGAAAGTTTAAGGGGAATGTTTCTCTTCTTTGATAATAGACCCATCTTCTTCCATCGTTCCATCTCGTGCTGGTTCAAAGAGGGCAATTTTTCCTGGGAGGGCGTACTACTGGAGGTTTCAAGGAATCAACTTCCAAATGTACGTTGTTAGGTAGCTTACCAGGCTTATCATCGAAACAATCTTCAAAGTCCCGCAACACAGAATCAGTTTGGAAAACACCTGGAGTTTCTTGCACAGATGGTTCTGACTATGGAGTATCTATCAGTTTGAGAACTTTTATGTCTTAACAAGCATCACACCCCAACAATGGTGTAAACTTTCCATCAGCAACAAGATACAACAGGTTTATATCACGACTTCTACATTGAGTTGATAGCCTCACACAGTTGATGAATGGGTTTAGATGCAAGCCACCCCTTCAAAGATTGCAGAATTTTCTGAAGACTTCTTTATACAGCTCCTAAGAAATGACTGTAGCTTCTGAACCAGATAGTGCTTTGATCTGTACATCCTTTCTAGCAATTATTTTCTTTCGAGTGCCAGATACACTATCCAGTACAAGAGATCCAAATATGTGCACATAGTGATTAAGCGGAGGCTCAAAGTCCACTAACACACTTCAACACTTAATTTTTTGCACACCCTTGCAAGGTGTCCTTTCGTTACATTTGTCGCATCTTTTTTCAAGGGCAGGGCAGAGAGGTGACTGAGTAAATGAGAGCTTGAACCTTGAGTTTTAAAAGAGGATGAAGTGAAAGTTCGTTACCAGTAAGTGTTAATGTGTTAAACGCGTACTGCTGGAGTTCGCTTGCGTCGAATATACGGCAATAAACATGAACGTTTGCAGCGTTAGTTCACCCCTCAATTCGTCTGGAAAAACCCACTCCTAACAGCAAGTTATAACATCGGTCGATAAAAGGCGAAACCAGAAAAGCTCAAATTACTTGATCTTAGGCCAAAAGAAATGTACACAACTCACATGATGGCCCGTTCCCGGGGCGCCCTTGTAAAACAGCCAGGGGATCCTATGTCTAAGGGTGGTTTCTACAGCTTCAAGTGTTTCAGCTTAGATAAATCGAGCCCATAAATTCTCAGATCAGTATACGTTATTCAAAAAATGCAAAAAAGGATAAATCTGAAAATTTCAGTAAGTAATTTAAGTAATTTCGGTGTTGAACCGATCAAAAACGCATGTGGCAAACCAGAAAGTCAAAGTCATGATCACGTCAGCCTCTTTTAAATCATGGTATGGAAAATCAGGAGGTCTGCACTAGGTCGTTTCAGCTCCGAAAAGAAAAAATTGGCCCAAATTTTTATTTGTGCTTAGCAAGCGCAACAATTTTATGTTCTAAACGAATTTGATACTCACCTTAGTCGAGTCGACTGCGTCCTTCATAACTTCCATCCAACCAGCAAAAGTCGCCTAAAACAAGTCATATAAACTCAAATTTCAGCGAAATACTTCGCTACTTAGGTATACCAGGCAGTATATTGTACACCTAACAAAATGAACGACGAAAGGGGCCTCTTAGTGTCCTTTAAAAACCGAAACACAAATAAATGTTTACGAAATGCCTGAGCGACTCCTATTGCGAAGATTCATTCTCATAAGGGAAACATATACTGCAGGTTAGTTTAACCTCAAAGCGTTTTCCTCCTATTTTCATACTAGAGTCGTCCATGTTTGTTTTTAAACTCTATATTTTGTGCTATTTGCCAAAAGCGCCTATAATATCATCAGCACTTTGTACTAACAATTAATGCAATACCCTTAAAACAAATATAACCTAACTCCAGTTTTTAAGGCATGTGGGACGTTTCTAAACGTACGGTCACTTTGGTGCCTATGGTAACACGAGTAAATGTCATTTGTCCGAAGCAAATGAAAAAAATAAAAATAAATAAAAGAAGTCGCAACGTACTACTTGCATCAGTGCAAGGAAGCCTGCTAAGACGTTATCAAAATTCACTTTGGAGTTGATCCAGCGGTAACCGTCCATGGTGCGGTTGAGGCATTCTGCTTTACTAGCAATCACACTGGCAAGTAACTGGGCGTTGTTTTCATCCACACACTTGTAGAATTTTCCGGCAAAGAAATGAACGCCAAGAATGCTAAATATCAGCCAGAAAAGAAAGGAAACCACCAGGACATTTGCAATACTTGGTAAAGCAGCAAAGAGCGCATTCACCACTACCTTAAGAAGGACAATACAAACAGTGTTTAATGCACATGAGATTTAGCAGTCATGAAATAAACTAAGTTTTACTTTAAATTGAACTGGCTACGATTTCTATGGGAATTAACAACCAACAGAATGGTGAATCGCGAATCGCTGTCTTGTGCTTTTGGGTGGTCTGTTTAATAACATGGGCGTCATCAAAAAGGTATTGCATCCGATTTATTAACGAAACGGAACAAACTCTTTGATAGCTTGGCTTGGTTCTTGATCAGGAGGACTGCATCATTTTCTATTCTTTCGCTTTAACTTCGGATGATCTTTCTTTATCTAGCTACCTAAATCACAATGGTCATTGTTTCAAAAAACAGTGAGTCTTAATATAAATTTATTGCAACAATATGACTTAATTCAATTCCCCTGGGAGATTTTACTAGCAAATTTTGATTACCTTCATTCCCTCCAGTCGTGAGATGGCCCGGAGTGGTCTCAATGCTCGTAATGTACGTAGGGAACGAAACACAGACAATTGCTTGTTCTCAAATAGGCAAGCGAGTGAAATCTGTGAGGTAAAACACATACTATAAGCGATGCGTTTATCCAGCCTTTATACAAACGTTTATACAGTAGGGAGCTTAATAGTTCATGTTGTACTCACTGAGACAATAAAGGCATCCAAACAGTTCCAAGGAGAAGCGAAGTACTTGGTGAGACCAAAACCTATGGCTTTAAGTAGGAACTCGAGGGTAAAGACACATGCAAAAATGTAGTTGAGTATTTCCAAGGTTTTCTCGAGATTTGGCCTTTTGTGCAGATTAACGTCTTCAAAAACCTACAAGTTTTAATAACACCTTTGTAAGCATTTTCCATTTACTGTACTGTTTACGATTAAAGAGATTGCATTTAAATAACATCTCAGCCTTGCTAAGTGGCCAGAACGCTGCACTTCTGGGTGTCCCGGGCGGAACAGGGTAATGAACTCCCACCCTGACCACTAGCTGCCATAAAAAAATGAGATCATAAAAGATTGACAAGACCAAAATAACTTCTATGAAGTAAATCATTTTAAAGATCTTAAAAGATGCACAGCATAAGATAACCTACCAGCATAAAACTGCTGAAAAACACCATGAAGAGAATAAACCAGTCAAAGTATTTCTTTTCCACAAAAATTCGTACACGGCCGCGGAACTTAAGCCAGGAAATGCTATCCGTCGATAAAGGCCTCCACAGTTGACAGTCTACGCATGCGCAGTGCTCAGGGAGGCAGTCCTCTATGTATAATTCCTTGATTTCAAACGAAGGAACTGGCACTGATGTTACCACACCATTTTCAGAAATCCCTTCTTTTATACATTCCATTTTGACACTGGGAGGAGAATCAACGCCATCCTCAAAACTAGTACCTTCTCTCATTATGTTGTTTGAGCTGTCAATGTCAATAACGTTGTCTAAGGCTGCATGGAAAGAGGAAATTAAATAAAATGCTATAGCAATGTTATTCATATCTGATAATGCTAATTTCGAAATAGCATGTCAAATGTAGCATGTTACAGCCAATCCAGAATCATTACAACTGGATAGATTATAAGAAAAGGATGAAAAAGAAATGCCAAGAAATGCATCATAAATGATGACAAAATCAGCTTTTTTTAGTTTGGAATATCCCGGATTAATTCATGGACGTTACAAATATGTATTAAAGGTGATCTTGAACATAATAAAAAGATGGCCGATATCATTGAGGACATATGTCCATAGACCCACTACCAACCCACTACCTTATACAACATTATTCATTCAAAATATTTCTCCGTTCCTGATTGGTCTTTTGTCAAGAAAGAAAACCGTGAACACTAAAGATATTGAATTGTGACCAATCACAACAAACAAAACTAGCTGCACGCAAGCAGGCCACAAAACTACTACCGTTGTTGAATGCTGCTTTAAGTTTTCCCACTCCTGATTGGCTTTTTCCTTGCAACACAATCACATTCCAGAAATATTTTCGTTGTTTATGGTTTTACGAGTTTCACGATAAATCCCCCGCAAAATCTTCTATTTTCATTAGGCTCGGAAATAGTTTGAATTGATGGTACAAAATGTATTGCAATTCGAAGAAAGGACGTAGATTAGAAATTATACAAAAGGAAACAAAAAATCAAAAATTTGGATGGTGTATGGACAAAGAGTGACATATTCATAGTATTGTTTATGAACAGGCAACAAAAAAGTTGATTTAGAAAGTATGCTAAAATAAGCAAATGAAAAAACCTCTCTTAGGCGTACACTCAAATTAAAAATATGTTTTCTTGGTAAAAAAAAACTATATTATCTCTATACTTTTACAATGTTCTTTGCAGTCATGATCTCCTGTGTGTATTGCCAAGGAAACGCCATCGCTTTGCTCATCAGGGTGTTTACTCTCTATAACCTTAAGCTTGCAAGGACGAAGAGAACCACGATAATTTTCCTCCAAAAGGCAGGACCTGCGTGTTTTAAATATCTTTTTTATGGCAGACTTGGAACCATCTACGCCATCTGAATTGTCATCTCGGAAGTCAAAGGCGTTCACTATTAGAGTGACAAACATGTTGAGGACCTGGTAAAGAAAAAGGCTATCAGAACTTACTTGCTGTATGAGAATAGTGATCGATCAATCAGTAAGTTTGAAATAGTCATTCCTTGTGCAATACAGTCTATCTTCGTTTGTTTTTTGATAAAGTTGATAACGAATATGCCGTACTTAATAACATGTCTTTTTCATAATCTGAAGACTGAAAAATTACATATGGAAGGAGTAAGTGGATCCGGGCAGCCAGTTATTTTGCCATAGTCTTAGTTTCTCAATCTGGGCATGACCTAACATACTGTTTGTTCACTCTGAGCAAAGTAGTCAATCCTTTTCTCACTCTCAAATGCTACTCACCAGAAAGTTTCCAGTGACGAGAACTGTTAGAAAGTAAGGGATGGCCTTGGCAGCGCTTGTGACCCTCATACAGTCCCAGAGAGGCTCGATCCACTCCCCGCTTAGCACACGAAAAACCATTAAAAATGCGTGCCAGATATCACTAAAGTTCCAGCGTGGCACTCCACTATCACCAAACTTATCCGCTTTATAATCTTTGGCAAATGTCTTCATTCCTAGGACAGCAAAAATGTAGATAATTACACCTAGAATAAGTGTGATGTTGCCCACAGGTACTATGCTTCTAGCAATGGCCTTCATCAGTCTTTTCATCGTCTTCCAGGATTTCGCCAAACGCAAAAGTCGTACCTAAATGGGAGAGAGTTAATCTTATGTGAGCACACAGAAGCTAACACGAGCCTCTATCTTTGAATCTCTCATCCTAAAACAAATTGATCTTTATTTTAAACCATTATGACACATGGATTGCACTAAAGACTAAGTGTTATCATGATATTATTTTTTTAGGCGATCGGAATAAACGTCACTTGACAATAACGTCACAACGGTTTTAGCTCTAAATCGAGTTTCAGCCCAGTTCGGCATTTTCTTTTGAAATGCTTTCGCTACGTGTTCTTTGGATGAGATGAATTTCTTCTGCTGTGCGAAGTGTCACAAAAATTCATTGTGACGTCAATGTCGCATGACATTTATTCCGATCGCCCAAAAAATAATAACATGATAAAGTTTAGTGTAAGTGTAACCCATGTGTTATAATGGTTTTACAATAACGATCAATTTGTTTAAGTATAAGAGATTCAAAGGTGGAGGGTGGGCCTATTAATATACTGGGTCGAGCCCCCTTAAATTTCAGTTACAAACATGACGGTACGAAATTCGTCTAAGAATTATCAATTTCTTACGATCATTTAACTTTAATTGCGAACTTTTCCTTGGTTTCCTTTCCGAACACGTTAGCTATCATAAAAGAGAGTAATCAAAATCTTGACATTTTCAAAGTTCAAAGTTGTCAACGTAGCTCTTTTTCAATTGTGTCTTTTTCAATTGTGACCTTAATAACTTATTTGTTCGGAATGAAATGATTCCTGTATTGCTTACCATTCTAAGGGTTCTAAATATACTGAGTCCATCAGCATGTATCACGTATCCCAGTAAGCTGGCTGCCACAACAGCTGCGTCAAACAAGTACCATGGGACGCGGACAAATGCTGTCGGTCCAATAGCGACCACACGAAACAGAATCTCAGTAGTAAACAAACAAGTGAATACCTATTTAGCAAAGGAAAAAGCCATTAATGTCGTATTTCGAACCTCAGTGATTTACTAATTCATTCATAAATATAGCGTGCAAAACAGATCATCTTACAGTAGTACTTAATATGTCCTGTTGAATAAGCCGACCGTACTATTACTCGCGATCGTTCGACCCTAAGGGAGGCTCTTATACAGGCTACTACGGCAATAGGTTAACATTATCAAAATGATCACAAGTGGTGCATACTTACCGACAACTGGAGCTGTCTAATAAATCTACAGTTAGATTTGTTATCCCAGATGCATGTAAACGATCACTAACTTTTACTCACCCAATTCAAAATATCCAAGACGCGCCTAAACTGGGCAGGAATACCATGGTAATACATTGCCAGAACAACTGTGTTCAAAACTATTAGCAGTAGAATCACCACATCGAAGGCAGGATGGGAGGTGATTTGCTGCATGCACTTTCGCACCATTTTCCAACAGGATTTTATATGAGACAGAACCTTGCTCGTTACTTTGTTTGTCTCAGGCCTTTGTGTTAATACCCTGGCTGATAAAATGTGGTGAAGTGATTCTCGGCGCTTCGATGCGTTCGAACCCGCATCTTTGGCTTCATCTTCTGATGGAGGCGGTTGGTTTCTATCTAATAAAATAAGACGGTTCAACATTCGCTCGTGTGCTTGATATGAACAACCAGTACGTCGCTGATCCATCTTTTCACCCTAATAAATCATGCACACAAAACAACACAATGTAAGATAGTTTTGCAGCTATTCTGCCGAATTAATATAACAGTTTTTAATCTCGTGTCAGAAAAACCATGCAAGTAAAGGATAATCAATCTGGGCAATCATCACTGGCGCCGCACCACCTCTGGGGACAAATCAATGGGGATGTACATGTATAATATACTGCACAAAGCAGCTAGAGTGGAACTGAATTGTTCAGCTGAGCAAGACAGGACTAACTGATAAGATAAAGAGAAGAGAGAATTTTTGAGCACAGGTCCTTCATCAGAGTGTTTACTCGTTGCTTTGGCTGTCTTAGAAAGTTGTGAATCAATGTTTGGAAGGAAAAGTAAGGAAATTTGTTTTAACTCATCAACAGTTGTCAAACTTGTTAGCGACGAGGGGAGAGTTTCGTTGCGAGGAATTGCGCCGCGAAAAACAAAAAACAACTGATACCCTGGTTGGTTCACTCTTTGAGTGAGCCTACCTATGTTGATTGAATTTGCGGATATCTAAAAGTACCTCATTTCCGTCTGAAGATAATTCCTGTTCATATGATAAGTACACCATCGCCAATACTAGGTTCATCAGGTAAAAAGCGCAGAAGAATATTCCGATGACAAAATATGGCACGTATTGAGCTCCAGAGGATCTGTTAATCTAAAAGGAATGATAAGTGTTCAATTTTGCCAGTTACACCATGAAAGTTAGTTTATAGTTTGTATCATGATAGTCAATTAAATATTCTTCACCACTTTTGATTCCACGGCTTACTGTCTGAAGTGGGCCTGACGAATTCTGGCTTATGGCGCATGTTTATGTTTCCTTCAGTTTTCTTCTTATATCCAGAGAAAAGCTCAATTGATACACTTACCTTGTTGTAAACGTTTTGCCAGAAATCCATTGTTAGTATTTGCAGAGCCATAATAAGAGACCAACCCATGTTGTCAAATGTCGTGTAACCATGATCTGGGTTTGGACCAGCGTTAGGCATGCATGTGTAATTGGATGGACAAGATCTTAATCAGGGAAAACGAATAGAGAATAAAATCAATTGATAATATCTGTAGCCTTGATAAGCTAATAGTTTGTACTGCATATACAGTACAATGGATTTTCTACGGAACTGACCAACGCGACGTTCTGTTGAAGGTACAGCGCAACAAAAGCTAGTGTTGATACATTGTAGATAGGATCCTGACTAGGCAAGGACAAGAGAAACATTTTAGTCATTTAATAAATAAGCTAATAAATTTATTGATTATTTGAACATGCATATGTTACAAAATTTACCCTGCACTTGAACTGTTCCCACAAATCAAAGGATCGCCATCATTAATAAACCAAAAACCTGAAAGTAAAAATAACACATAATGTCGTTATTCCTGCTACTCAGAGGTCTCAGAAGACTCCCAAGCAGGCGTTTTTAGGGGAGCTCATCTTTCATCCCTCCCCTAAAAACGCCTGCGTTGTTCAACACAACGTTAAAAAAGTTATTTTTTTTGTATGATGAGAGAGATTTGCCTATATGAATCATAAACTTTTGCCTTAAGATAAATCCTTACTTTGCGAAACTAAAGATGACATCGGTGATGACGAAAGAAAAGATGATGAGCATGTTAATGAGCATGACGTTAAAATATGATATCAGATTATGATTAACATACTTAGTGTTGATGACATTTATAGAGGCTGTGTCAGAAATAGCCATTTAAAAATTGAGGCAGACCTTGGTATCTGCACTAATAGTCTATAATATAACGATGATGACGACAATACAGGTGATTCTTATTCATTCAAATATTTCGTTTCTGATTGGCTCAAATTCTTCGGCTGGGGATGCAATATGGATTCGATGAAAAACATCTGTTTATATCCTGAAACCGTGTCGAGAAATAGGCCAAAGTTTTGAAAACGTCTACGAGGAGATACGCTTGTTATTAGAACTTAGAATATTAGTAATAAATAATTAACAATTATTGGATGAGGCTGAGTATCATCTGAAGAATTATGGAGACCGAGGAGGGTGGTATTGTGACGGAGGGTGTTTCCACTAGAAAACGAAGTTCAGGCTAAACAGGTACTCGATGCTTAACTCTCGTTTAAACTGGGGAAACTAGACTCAAATGGCAACTCTTTTGCGGGCAAGAGCCGTCACTTCCCTGTAGGACTGGGATCAAACCACTAACTTGTACAGCAGTGGATTGAACTTAACAGAATTAAACTTTGTTTCCAACAGCGTTTATTCTTCAGCTGATCACATGGCAATAAACTCAGGTAGGACACTTCGAAATAATGAGCAATGTAATCAACGACGCGATGTAATCGACGATGTAATCGACAATGTAATCGAAAAACAGTAAAAAGTAGCTTACTTATATTTGATTTCGCTTGGGCACACAAAGGATTCGTCGTTGCTATCGACGCTGCATGCGGATATCTCGGGGATCTATTATTTCGGTTTGATTAGGAGTGGAAAATGCGGTTGAACTTCCGGTGGTCGCTGCAACTCGTCTTGAACTTGGAACTGGATACGTGAAACTTGTACTTGGGTTTAGATTCTCTTCAACTTCGGCGTCACTTTCGGGACTGGAAACCCAATGGAAAGGCATCTCGGCAAGTAAGGCTTCCCGGTCTTTGTCTGTTAAACCAGCTTGTGTGTCTTGGTCTCTTACTTTGAGTGTAACGGGTTGCTATGTTTTTAGCCAATAGTTCGCCTGTTTCTTGCTCGCGAAACGAGTGAAAAGTTACGCCATTTTGTACTCACTACCAAAACAACTCAACCTCGTCCCCAGGTCTTCTCGGTTAACTGTTCAGTTTTCTGGCAATTATGGTGCAGAATTGACGTCATTTTCCACATATCGCAAACTTCTTCCAAATTTGGTAAACAAGTGCTGGTTATGATGAATTATCCATGGGATTTAAGCCAATCAGAAAGGGAGAAATCTTTTGAATGAATAATAATAACCGTTATCAAATCCAGCTTTCGCGTATGATGTGAAGAATTATGTTGATCTTGGAGGATTTTGTCCGCCTCCGATCTTCGGCCCCCGTGGATAAAATTCTCCTCGATCTGAATAATTCTTCACATCATACTCAGCCTCATTCAATACGGGTAATGGTTATGATAACACTGATGGTGATGATAACGCTCCTCAGTGTAGCCTTGTGCACATGTAAAGTTGGCCTACTGCCGCCCAATTTATGACATCCTAATTTAACTCAGATGCGTGTCTTACTTTCGTTTAGAGCTCGCTCCTGTTTGTTCTCTGTACTATTAGCATACTGAATGTCAAGAACACACTTGTTTCTCAGTTGTCCAGAAAACAGCTGTAGTCCAATAAGCGCCATGACACCGAGAAAGAATATAAACAAAATCAGGACATCACTCAACAGCTTCAGAGAAGACAATAATGTATTCACCACTGCACGGAGACCTTAAAGCAAATGAGGTAAAAAGGATATCCCATTAGTTATAAGTATACAATGTCACTACGTCACTGCTACGTGTTTTATATGCCACATCGGGGTTTTAAATACATCTTCTCACTATGTACGTAACTTGAGCTACACACCTACATTTACCTTTCAAGGTAGAGATGGTCCTCAAGGCGCGAAGCACTCTAATTGTTCTGATTCCCGTCAAGTTAGCGATATTTGGTGCCATGGTGATATACCTGAAGAAATCAAAGTTTCTCCTGTCTGGTGCTTCCTTAACAAGGGAATAAAAACTTCATCTACAAAAGTCGGTTTTTTTAAGAGGTGATAACTTGAACATGCAACGTCAATTTCATCGCTCAAAGAACATTTTTCTCGTTTTTTCTTGAACGATAACTTTCTTTGAAAATAGGCTTAGTTGAGTCTCTATAGGTATTATAAGAGATTGTAATATTACACAAGTATTCGAATTTATCATTGGTGGAAGATGCCCAGTTGCTAACTCCGATATAAAAGCGACGGGGATGCTCATCGGAAAGTGAAAACTAAACCTCTAAGGGAGACCAACGTGGGTGTGGCTTAAGCGTAAACGTTAACTGACCTCTAAAGAAGACCATACTAAAACAGACAAAACCGCATTTTTTGTAAATTTTGTTATGCACAGCCCTAAGAGATACCTGAACGAGCAAATATAAATGGTGACTTTCGGTCCCAAACATCTTAAGTGAGACCAAAATATGCAATTTATACCCCTAAGCGAGACGATGAACATCCCAGTCACTTTTATATTGGAGTTCACCTGGAGAAAGATGTTATCAGCGCTTATGCCCGTACGAGTAAACCACCCCTAAGGTTATGACAACCACGGCCTTACAGTCTTCTACAAATCCGCTGTTTAAGGAACACGTTGTTCATTATATCTGCTGTTAAATATACCATACCCTAATAGGACTACTATAAAATCAAGCCAGTTCCATCCATCTCTAAGGTATGCGTGGGTATGAAATATAAATCCACGCGACAAAATCTTCATAACCATCTCCATGGTGTAGATTCCACTGAATACGTACCTGGTAAAAAAGAACGTTTCTCCAGCATTAGCTTATGCACCAGACAAAGATAAAAGCGATAAAACACCAAAAAACACGGCCACTACCCTATACAATACAACAAAAACAACGAGCTTTATTTGCGTGACCATACAAACGCATACAGTATTGAAAAAGCTATGTTTAGGAATCAAAATTACGACACAGGGCAATTGCGTTACTTTGATAATAATTTGTCACGAACATCAAAACAAGCTGAAATATATTTTATGAATTGTATATTCAGCTGTATATTGATAAAGGAATTAGAAGAGTTCATCAGTTCATTGATCAAACCGTTTATAGGTAACTAGGTAATATTTGGAATCAGAGTCTTGACTTTATAGTAAAATTTATTCCTAATCATAGAGTTTGTAGGACATTGAAAAAGAAAGTGAACTTCGTCTTCTATTTCATTGCATCCACAAAAATGCAAAGCCTATTATCCTTCGTAGTTTGATTATATTTTGATTAGATTTTTGTGAGTTATTTCCATCAGTACCTAACGTTTTCAGTAGTTGTTCATTCATCCCTCGCACACATTTTGAGACAAGTTTAGTGATGGTCAGTTGCTACGGTTACGAGATATGACGGCATAAGTAGCAGGTGGTCAAGCCAATTTTGGGTCAAAATACATGTTTGATTTCTAATTCTCGGTAAAATCCAAGTTGACGGCCAAGATGGTGACCATTGTTGGTGACGTCACAGGCCAACAGCAGCGCCACCACCCCTAAAATATACCTCATCTTGTTAAGAAGATCAAAGGCTTTCCAGTGAAGGTAAAATCGTTTCAAAATACTGGAGCATATCAAAAACTTCGGGAAGTGGTTACATTTCACTTTTCTCTTCGCGTCAAAAAACCCCGCGAAGACAACTTGTATTAAAAGCGATGTTATTTGTCACGTGACGGCAAAAACCTTCAAGCCTTAGATGTCGAACAATAGTTTAAACGGACATTTTGGCGGCCAAACAAGTTTTTATGTTAAATTTTGTGTCCAAGTTTGATGCTGTTGAAAAAGTATATTTTTTTGAAAATCAAAAAATTACGATTCTTTAAAAGCTGATTTTTGGTGCAAATTAGGCTTTTGGCTTTTCACTTTTCTCTTCGGGTCATGCCTTAAACATGAACTTTTAAGAGATAACAGGCCCGATTCTTTAATTTGCATCAAACATGAAAACAGGCAAAGGAAAACAAGAAATTAGACGAGGACAAGAAAAATGGAAATGTAGCACTTGGTATTTTTTTCAGTTAGAAGGCAACAATAAAAATGCTTGAAAATGCTGGGAATTTCTGAGATGCGAGATGAGAAACGGTCGTATAAGCAGGCTATATTAAAAAGCAAATTATTCTTTGGTATTTTGAATTCCCAATATATACTTGAACGCGATCGCGTGGATATCACTAAGAAGCTAATCTCTGAGTTTTAAAAGTAACTAAGTTTCGGTTTACTTACTCAGCTTCATCGGGTGGATTTTCAAGTACGAGAAAAACACAGTTTATTAGAATGGTAAGAATAACAAATGACTCAAAATATCTAAAATGAAAGTTAAGGAAGATTAATCTGCTTCAAACACAGATTCAAACTGTAAATGAGTAAGGTTACGGTACCATTCAAAGGGATCGTTTTATTTTATTTTGACCAGTCATATCTAAACTCATGTTTTGATTTATGGGAAAAAGAGGGAGGAGAACAATAATCAGGTTGATTGGAATGGTTACACTTAATAAAACCTCTAAATAGATCCATTAAACGCATTCAACTCCAAGGCAGTAAAACAAGGATGGCACGGTGATATGAACACACGCCTAACAACTCTAGACACTATTCACAGTAGTACCAAAATCACCCGAAGTGATGATGGGTAATTACCAATAGAGAACAAGCCCCTTAGCTGTCAGTAGTAGCTGCCTCTTTCATTCAGTGAGGAGCAAGTCAACGTTTCCCCGCCCACTCCACCCTCAGCGGTTTATTTTATTGATCCCGAGTCTCTTCTGCTAGTCAATAAACTGCGTTGCCCAAACATTGTGGTCTGTGTTTAGTATCATTCGTAATTCGCGGTCCAGAGGTGTTTCCACTTCGATCTGGAAAGTACAACCTTGCATTGAACGATTGCTCAAGTGTTATATTTATATTACATCTGCAGTGAGAGTTACACTGGCATTACGAATAGTGGCGTCCGGCCTCGACAAACCACTGCTCGCAGGGTACATTGGCATTTACATTTTTAGAATATGTTGACCTTTGTTTAAAAGGATACTTGTTAGTGACCAGGCGAATTGCAAATCTCCTGATGGGATTTAGAGGTCCAAAAAGACACAGTGACTTTGCTTTGTTGAATCGGAACACGTGATCTGCACTGGAATTTCCACGACGGCTAACCACCAAAAAAGTGTCTATGGAAGGCCGCTGAAAAAAACCGAGGTATAGTGAATATTTCTTGAAAAGTCCCAGATACAAAGAATAAAACATTAAAGGGTTCCCTACCTTGCGTATACATTCTTCCAAAAGAAAACGCTAGGTAGGGTCAAACGTCAAAAGTTAAATATTTGTTAGATATACAATTCAGTTGAGAATGTGAGTAGGGGCTGATTTGGCTAAAAGAGCTGCAGCTTTCTTCAGAAGGCTTTGTTGGTTCCAAGGGGACCAAATTCGGTAGAACCTTGCACAGCCAACTGGAAAATCGTTGTCAATACTCACCACCTTGTTTAAGAACATCCTTCACATGCCTTCAATAAATGACTCTATCAAAGGATGCATATCATGCCACTAAGCTGTTATACATTTACTTCTGAGTACACTCGCCTCTTAACGTAACTGAAAGTTTAGATGTCAACAACTGAGTTCTACTTACACTTGCAAAGCCTCCATCAAAATCAACCAGCGGCTTTCCAATATAGAACGAAGGCACTCGGGCCACCCTGCTACTTTTAGAGTCATCAACTATGTGGAGCACTGGATCCTCATTTATTCGCACTCTTTTTTTTCCTTTGACGTTTTCCGCTGAGGGCGTAAAGGTAGGAGAAAAATGATGGGTTAAGATAGTTCATTTCACCAGACAATAATTCCATTTGAAATCATACTTTGGCCTTGTGTCTCACGTCTCAAATCGCCATAAAGATGGTTTTAAGTTTACCACAAAAGTACAAAAAAATGCTTTAACCAAGATGAATGCTTCATGGCTCAGCTCTTTCTTTTTGCCTACGCATTCATCAAGTCATCTGCCCGGGCGATAAATTGAAACCGATTAAACACTCCATTCCCTCATCCTTCCTACATTCCCTTTATTTTTCCTTTTTTCTCTCTCTCTCCGTTACCTTTTCAGTCACCTACCGGTATTGGTTTCATGTTCCACTTTCTTCGAATCCGTAGTTTCGGACTCAGCCAT